ATAGACACAAATGGTTTGTGCTCAGCTGGTAATGGCAGGGTTGGCTGTTTGAATCCATCCAGCGGCACCACAGAAGAAAGGTCTGACAATCTGTGTCCATAAAGATTGTTGTTGTTGTTAAGATGACAGCCCAGAAAACCCTATGGAGCAGTTCTACTCTGGAACACAAGGGGTCTCAGTAAGTCGGAATCAACTAGACTGCATACAGCAAAAATAACACCAGCTATGTGATCATGAGGGTAAGGGCACCCACCTCAGTTTGGGTCATCCATTGTCCCATCCCCAGCACTCAACACAGTGCCTGACACTCAGTAAGTATTGTTGAATGGATGTGTGACTGTGTCCAATCTTAGCAGTGGGCCAAAATGTACTATCCTGGCCAACTTAGGTCTGGGCAAACTTAAGCTCCAGAAAATCGGATCCCCATAGTATTGGCACACCTTCCAATTTCCATCTATCAACTTAATTATTCAGGGCAACAGTAAAAATAACAATATTTATTGGCTGTTTACTGTGGGCCTGCATTATTTCATCGGATCCTCAGAACAACTCTGTGTGCTTCTATTCTCATCTTATTTTACAAGTGAGAAAACTGGGGCACAGAGAGGCTAAGTGTGTGCCCAAAAGGTGCACAGTGAGCGTGACTGCCGTGGAGTCTTTAGAGACTTACACTCAAAGGTACTCTCTAATGCTGGGACAGAAAACGTATGCTTTCAAAAATATTAAATCACAATTGGAGACATTTGGGAGCAAAATGAAAAATATGCACGTCATGCCAAGAAAAAGAACACAAGACTTCAAGGCAAGGAGATGTCATGCCTGCCCAGCACTTGGTTCCCTATACATGACCTGTGTCCAGCCTAGTGCCCTCTCCCCAAGGCCGCTGGGAAGGAAGTTGAAATTCCCCACCCTAGTGAAACCCTGGAAGACCACCCACAGCATCTTCTGGAAGATGGGACTACACAGAAGGGAACAGCATCTGGTTCCAGCTTTTGACTGTCCGTGAGCAGTGTGAGTGTGCGTGTTGGGTGTGGGATTGGATGGGACTCAGTGCAACACTGCTTTCCTCCCTGAAGACACAAACAAGCTGAGGCTCATTAGAGGTGGCTGGAGTCCCAGCCCCTCCTAGTTCAGCCCATCTTCCTGGCTGGGCCCTCCTGTTAGCCAGTCTCACCCTCTCTGCCTGGGAAGAAGTAGGCAAAGGAAGGCACTTCTGAGAGCTCTTTGGACTTTGGGAGGGGAAGGTGGAGGCTGGTCTGTAGCTGCCAAGAGACTGCAGTCCCTTCTTTAGTTGTTTGGAGCTGGGAGCTCATTTTCCCACAGAAACAAAGCTCAAGGGGAGGTTGGCTCCCTGCCTGGCCTGAAGCAGTCAGATTAGCTAAAAGCACCATTCCTGAGTCCCTTCACACACACATACACCCACCCACACACACACACCATTGTCACTATTGTCTGTGACTGGTGGGGCTCCGGGGCTCTGGGGTAGCTTCTGAGACCACAGATCCTGGGGCTGCTCTGCCAAGGGCTCTGGTGGCCGTGGGAACTGGGGCCCAATCGAGGGCAGCCTTACAGGAGCGACAGAGCAGAGCATGGTGCATGTGCATGTTTGTGTGTGAGTGTGTGAGTGTATCTGTGAGTGTGTGTGAATGTATGTAAGAGTATTATGTGTTTGTGAGCATGTGAGTTTGTGAGCATGGGTGTGTGAATGGGAGTTTGTGTCTGTATGTGTCTCTTGTGTGTGTGTTTACACATTTCTAAACCATGGAGTAACAGAAAACACCGTGGACAGAGTTACTCTGAGAAGCTACTTAACATCTCCAGACCTCAATTTCCTGTTCTGTAAATGGCGGTGGTAAGAGGTTTCAACTAGAGCTGTCATTTCTATTTTTCTTTTTAACAGTTTTCTTTATTCCCCAATCTTGTATTAAATGAGCTCTGATTAAAGTGTTGGTAGAAGTTTTGGGAAGGGAGTCCCGCTTGGCACTTTGCCACCTGCCTTTACTTCCTTGGGACTCCATCTTCTCTGTGTTGTCTGGGAATTCCTGAGCTGGATACACACACACACACACACACACACACACACACACACACACAGAGCCCTAGCACTGTGGTAGAATCTAGAGGAAGTGCAGAACAGGGGACACGCTGCAGACAGGGTCTGCGTAGGGGATTAGGTAGCCTCAGATTAGGCGCTGTGCACGGTGACAACCAGAGCCGGATGGGCCATGAAGCGGCATCTCAGGGATGAAGGAGCTTATCTTTCAGGGTTCAGTGAGTCTCTGGAGACTGTTAATCACCCTCCGGTGGCAGGGATAGCTGTGCCCGTAGACGTGACTGGTCAGGCCCGAATTCCAGGAAGGAGACTGGCTCTGTACAGGGCCCTGTCTCCTTCACATTCCATTCCAGGCACACTGCACTTTCTACAAGGTCAGGGGCCCCAAGTTCCTGTCATGGGCAGTGTGTAGAATGCGGAGCTGGGAGCTAGGGGAGAGAAGGGACAGACAGGGCCTGTCCCCCATAGGTCCCCTCTGGGATGGCAACAGGAGTGGCTCAGTTTTCCCACCCTGTCCCCAGGCTGGGTAGGCTGGGGACCTGCAGTGGCTACCAAGGGAACCTTGAGAGGAAAACAAAGCACCAAGAAGCAAGGAGGCCCCGCCCGGAAAAACAACATCCTGGTGTGGCTGCCTGGGCTGGTGAGGGACTATTTTTAGCTGCAGGGCTGCAGGGATAAGACTTGTATGGCTTTACTGTATGCTGTACAGCTCACCCATTGTCCGGCCTGACCCTGTGGGAGGCTGTCTGCTCCTACCCATCGGGGTACAGCCCTCTCTGGGTGCACCTGGGCCATGGAGGATCAGAGAGAGGAGGGTTCTGACCTAGAGACAGTCATCCTGTGGCTGCAGGGAGCAAGGCTGCCCCTGGAAACAGGCCCTGGGGCACTCCTGGCAGCTCTGGGCAGCAGAGGGCACTGGGCTTTTCCCTGGGGGACCAGCAAAAGCTCGGTTGAGTGCAGGACTCAGGGGTCCCAGTGGAGAGGAGCACTGTTCCCCCACACACCTGGGTGCAGAGATGTGAGGCCAACTCCAGAGGACATGGGTCCTTTTTTAGGTCCTCTGGGCCCCAGTCAAACCTTGGGTGGTCTCATCCATGTCCCTCCATAGACTGAGAAGATGTGTGTGTGTGTGTGAGTGTGAATGTTTGTGAGAGTATATGTGTGTGGTGTGTGTGTATGACTGTGAATGTATGGGAGTATATGTGTATGTGTGTATCTGTACATGTGTGAGTATATTAGTGAGTGTATGTGTGTGAGGACGTATGTGATGTGTATGAGCATGTACACATGTGTATGTGAATATGAATATTTGTGTGTGAGCATGAGTGTGTGCACATGTGTACATGCATGTGTGTGTACATGTGAGTATATGTATGTGTGTATGTGTATATGAGTCTGAGTCTGTAGTATATGAGTGTGTGATGTGTGTATGTGTGAACACGAGTGTATGTGTGAGTACATGTATGTGAGTAGGTGTGAGTGTGAGTACATGCATGTGAGTATGAGTGTGTACATGTGTGAGAGCATATGCATGTGTGAGTGCATGTATGTGGATGAGTGCATGAGTGTGTGAGTGCGTATGAGCATGTAGATGTGTATGAGCATGTGTGTGCACACGTGTGAGTATATGAATGTGTATGCGCATGTATATGTGTATGAATATGAGTCTCTGTGTGAACATGAGTGTTATGTGTGTACACGCATGTGAGTGTGTGTACATGAGTCAGTGATGTTAGTATATGAGTGTGTGATGTGTATGAGATGTTAGTATATGAGTGTGTGATGTGTATGAGTGTGTGAGTTTGAGTGTGTATATGAGCATGTATGTGTCTGTGTGTATTCTGAATGTGTGAACATGAGTGTATGTGTGAATAGGTGTGTGCATGTGTGTGAATATGAGTATGTGTGTGTACATGTGTGAGTATATACATGTGTGTATGTAAGTATGAGCATGCGTGTGAGTGTAAATATGAGCATGTATATGTGTGCATGTATGAGTGTGTGTGCACATATGTGTAAGTACATGAATATGTGTATGAGTGTGTGATGTGTGAATGAGTGTGTATGAGCATGTATACATGCATATGTGAATATGAGCCGCTGTGTGTGAACGTGTGTGCACGTATGTGTGTATGAGTACATGAGTATGTGTATTAGTATGAGTGTGTGATGTATGAATGTGTGTCAGTTTGAGTGTGTATGTGTTTATGAGCATGTGGATTGTGTATGTATGAGTATGAACATGAGTGTATGTGTGAGTAGGTGTGTGTACATGTGTATGTGTGAGCACGAGTGTGAAAGTGTATGTGTGAGAGACACAGTTGGTCTAGAACCACTTTCCTGTAGCATCCAGGAGGAAAATAGCTGGTGGGAACTCAGCACAACAAAAGGAAACACAAGTGGGCACCCAGGACGAGGACTGGAACCTTGTGGAGAAGTCACCTCAGCTGTCCCTGTAGAAGCAAGAGTGGGGTGCACACCTCCAGGCTTAGACCACAGGCACCCTGCTTCAGCCCTTCTTCTGGGTTAGGAATCTCCCTCCCAACAGGACTCTGAGATGGGGCCCTATCCCCTAATCCAGCCTGTCCCTAAGGCCAGCTCTTGGAAGCTGGGAATTCAGGATGGTCAAAAAAGAAAGACTGAAAAGGGAGTTGGTCAATCAGTCAGCAAATGTTTATTGAGCACCTACTATGCGTGTCAGGCCATGTTCTAGGAACCCTGAAGAGGAGAGAATGGGGTAACCCAGATCTGTCCCAGGTGTGCCCCTCACCTCTAAACAAAGACGGGAGTTGTTGAGGGTACTCAAGGGGACCTGGGGAGCCTCGTCTCTGAAAGGTGGAAAGCCAGGTGGACACAAGGTGGGTGCCTCTAGAGATAAGGCGATGGGGGAGGTGACTCAAAGGTTGGTTCCTTCTCTGGGGTGAGACAGGGCCTGCCGGGCCCCTCATCACCTTCTCTTCAGCACTGATATGCAGGACTTCTTGAGGGGTCCGATCTGCAGGTGGGCATCCACACTCTCCAGGAAGAAGGCAGGCTTGAGCCTGCGAGTGAAGAGCCCCGTGAAGTGGCTGTCCAGGCGGCTCTGGAAGGGGTCGGAGGTCAAGGCGGGGGCGCCACTCCTACGGGGCCTGGAGACCTTCAGCCTCCGCAGGAGACTCATCTTGCCATCCCGCACTGCATAGAAGGCCAGGGCCCGGTCGGCGTATTCCAGACAAACGCCCACAGTGGGTGAGAAGGGCTGTGGCAGGGGTGTCTCTAGCCCATGGAACCAGACGGAGAAGCTGCGACCATTCCATTGCAGACAGCAGGAGTGGGCGTTGCGGCCGAGCCGGCCCCGGTCATAGGGCTCTTGTGGGGAGAAGTCTTCGGCCATGACCCCCACGCTGACCCAGCCCTCGATGATCTCTACCTCCCAGTAGTAGGTGCCCCGGTCCAGGGCGCCCACACCTAGCACCTGCTCACAGTGGGTGAAGCGGGTGGGTGACTCGGGGTAGTTGATGGGGCAGAGCACTCTCTTGACACCTTTGGTTCCAAACAGCTGCAGGAATTTATCAGCTGTGTCGCTGTCCAAGTCCACAATGTAGGCAACTGACCGCACGGACAGGAGAGAGAGGCAGGACTGAGAGTCAGGCTCTGATGGGACAACCATCCCCCATGTGCCAACCCTCCCCCCCCCCAAATAAACCTGCTGCCATCTAAGCAATTCCAACTCATACTGGCCCTATAGGACACAGTAGAACTGGCCCAGAGGGCCTCCAAGACAGTGGTGCTGAGGGTTAATGCACTGGATGGCAAAATCTGTTTGAACCACAAGGTCAGCGGTTCAAGGTCTCCAGCTGCTCCTCGGAAACCCTATGGAGGGTCACTATGGGTCAGGACTGACTCAATAGCACTTAACAACGACAACAACAACTCTAACAGAAATAGACGGTCACATCTTTCTCCTGAGGGGTAGATGGTGGGCTCAAACCACTGAACTTGTTGTTCACTGTGAGTGCTTTACCCCCTGCACCACTAGAGCCCCTCCCTCATGCGTCCACTTCTCTAAACTCAGGTCTGTTCCCTCCTTTGGAACAAGCACAACTCAGCCTTGCAGGAGAGCCCTTCACTAGTGAACTGTGGAGGGGAATCCAAGCCCCCATGTGTCTGGGACCTGGCAGGGCCTACTTCTGCCAGTGTGGGTGGGAGAGCCCAGCACACACTTACACTTGAGGAAGTAATCCCGGGGAGCTTCACTCTCCGGATGGCCAGTGCTGTCGGGGTCCTGGGAGTCCAGCTCAGCTGCAGAAGAGGAGACAGTGAGGAGCATCTTCCAGACTGACTGAGATGCTGTAATTAAGGTCCTCCCCTAAACCTGTGACCAAAATCCCCTCTTCTTTCCCTTCCTCCCAGGGTCCTGAGGCACATGGGGACAGAACATTCCTGGGCATGCACCCTGTGCCCCTGGGTTCTGCCTCTTGCTCGACTTGCTCCCCAGCCCCTTCTGAAGCCTGGGGCTGACCCTCTAGGCTGCGGCAAGAGAGCAGCTTTGTCATCCTGGGAAGGCAGCTCCAAGCACTGTGGGGATTTTGGGCCCCACCCCATGCCAAGCGCACAGTTTCCATCCTCCCCTTCTAGATGGGCACCCGGCCCAGGGGCCTGTGCGAGGAGCCTGGGAGAGGGTGAGTCACCTCGCTGTGAGGGGAAACACCCACCTTCTGACCCCATCTTCTGCGGACCATCCTCCTCACTTTCCAGCCCTTGCAGCTGCTCCCACTGGCTGGAGCAGGCTTCGGCCAGCAGCTCTCTCACTGCCCGGACAGCCTGAGACGACTTGGTGAAGCTGAGCTCCCTCAGGGGGCTCGGCCCAGGGCCGCACCCCTCCTCCAGGGCCAGCCGCAGTGCCAGGAGCTCCTATACCAGACAGACATCAGCTGAGGCTCTACTGGCCACACTTTGCCTAGCTAAGGGGGCAGCCTTGCCAGGAGACCCAGGACCCTCATTCCTCCACCATGGCTGTCCTCCCCAACCCCAAAGCCCCCGCTCTTACCTGTAGATAGCTGACCGAATCAGCTTCAGGGACCTGGCTAAGGTTGTGGCGGGCTCGGCTCAGACAGCTTCGTTGTTCCTCTTGCCGCCGCAGGTCACCTTGGGAGCGTCCCAGCATGCTGCTCTCCCCCTCCTCGATGAAGCCCAGCACCTGAGTCTGGAACCTCTGTAGGGTGGCTGCAGCCTCGGCAAACATCCGACTCACCCTCTCCCGCTCTGCTACAGCAGCGCTCTGCACAGAACATCATGAGGGGGTGGGGGGGGTGGGAGTTGGGGATAAGTGCTTCAGTACCATCCTTCCCTGACCCCAGTCTGCCCATTCCTCCTGCAGGTCAGCAGCCTGCACCTGGCCAGCTCTGGTTCAGGTTAGGAAGACGCTCTTGTCCAGTGGTTTGCTTGGAGTGGATCATTCCACCCCGAGCTCTCATCCTGCCAAGACCCTACTGAAGACGGGCAGGGGGCTATCTGACCTTGATGAGGGCCACGGTGCGTCTGGATTGGGCAATGCTGGCACCCAGCTCATCCATGCAGTCCTCCACCGCACTCAGGACTTTGGGCTGCTCGGCCTGTGGATGACACTCCCATGAGAACAGAGTCTGGCAAAGCACATGGGGCCCTGCCAAGGGACAGGAGAGGGGTGACCAGGACCAGGAGTGGACTTTATGCATTGGTGGGACTAGGTGTCTCCATTATGTCCCATAATGCCTGGAACGGCTCCAGGTAGATGGGGTAGAGGTGCTTCCAGCTCAAGCTGGTGACATTCCCAAATGCTCGTGGGGGGTGCAGGCTGACTGATGGACTGTCTGCTTCTCTCTCTGAACAATGGGGCAAATGTAGGACCATCAGTGAGCTCCCAGGGATGCAAAACTCAAGTTCATTTGAGAATTTCCTACAGTGAGGACCAGGTAGGGTGTGAGCATGGGCTGGGGGTACCACAGGGGGTAGGTACACCAGCTACACCAGAGGGCACTCAGCTGTCCTGGGCATCCCTGTCACCTAAGAAGCTGGGACCACCTCTAGACCTGAAAAAAGGGGATTCCGGAAAATCCCTTGGGTTTTGAGTCACAGCTCCAGGCAGGAGAGATGGAAAATCCCAAGGCCAGAGGCGCCAAGGCTGGGCCGGAGGCCAAAGGAAACTGGGGGTGGAGGTAGCGGGCCAGGCTGCGCACATGCTCCCACCACAGGCCCCCAGAACAGCCGGACAGAGCGAATGTGTGTGCCCCGCCGACAGCCAAGCCCTACGCCCGCCACACCCATTGAAACCAGATGCCCCCGCCCAGGCCAAATCTCAGCTGGGACCTTGAAGCCGGGAGCATCAGCTCGATGATGGAGCCAGCCGCTGACAAGGCGGCGGGCCTAACCCGACTCCCTTCCCAGCTCAGGTCTCCTGCCCACCCTTCACGTCCCAGTCCCCTCCACTCCCCACCCACATTCCCATCTCCAGCACCAAGAGCTGATGACATTGACAAGGTTGGAGGGCAAAGCAAAGATCCTCGCTATTTAGAGAAGGAAAGTGAGAACCGAGCCAGCGGCCCTCCTCCCTCGTTCGGGGTCTCCCGCCCAGCCGCGCTAGGTGCCCGCGCACACCTCCTGGAGCGCGCGCTCCTGCTCTAGCGGCACCAGCTCATGGCCGCGATGCTCCAGGGCGGCGCAGACCTCGCACAAGCACACGCGCTCGGCGCGGCAGTAGCGTTCTAGCGGCCGCAGGTGGCGCGGACACAAGCTCTCCTCCAGTCGGCGCAGCGGCGGCACGAGGCGGTGTCCACGCAGAGCGGGGCTGCGCTCGTGCGGACCCAAGTGTGCGGGGCAGAAGGAAGCGAGGCAGGAGAGGCAGGAGAGCGCGGCCGGCAGAGCGGCGCCTTCGGGACAGGCGTCGCAGCGCACCAGTTCTTCGGCCGTTGGCCACGACTCCGGAGCGCAGGGAGCCGAGGGCTCCGGGGCGCTGGGCGGCGCGCTGGGAGCCGAGGGCTCAGGGCCCGGGCCCTTGCTGGGGCCCGAGCCCTGGCGGAGCTGCAGCAACTCCGACAGCGTGTGGTTCTTGCGGAGCTGCAGGCCGTCGGGGAAGGGCTCCTGGCACAGCGGGCAGCGCGCTGTGCCCCCGGGCCCACCAGCGCCACCCGCGCTGCGGTGCGGCCAGAGCGCGCCCAGGCAGGCCAGACAGAAGTTGTGGCCGCAGGGCAGCGTCACCGGCTCCCGGAGCGGCTCCAGGCAGATGGGGCAGCTGAAAGGCCCGCTACTGTCCATGGCTCCGCGGCCGCTGGGGGCACCGCCTGTTCTGCTCCCGCCTGGGAGGGACCCGGCCCGTTCGCGCCCGGCGCCGCCCCCGGGATGAATGCCAAGGATCCGGCCCCCGCTGCCTGGCTTGGGCCTCCCCCAGCGCCACCCGCCACGGTCACAGACCAGTTCAGACCGCGTAGCTGGCCTCTCCACAAGGAGCCCCTCTGGGTGCTGAATGGGGTGTGCGGAAAGGAGACGGAGGTTAGGGAATGCGAGAGGAAAACCTAGAAGGAACTGGCTGTTCACCCGTCCATCCCCCACCTCTGCAGCCTAGAAGGCCTGGGGCTCAGGAAGCGCTGGGCGGGCCTTAGCGCTGTAGACCCCTCCCGGACTGGCCCGGTAGCGAAGTTCCGGAGCTGCTGACTGAAGAGAGAAAGAACAGTTGATGAGTGTGTGTTTGCCCCTTAGCGACTCTGTTTAGCCCCGGTGGGGGAACTCGGGGCTTTTCTAGATTTAAAATGGGAAGTTGACATCATTCTCCAAGTCTTCCAGAGTCAGGAAATCAGTTCTAGTCCAGTGGACCGTAGCTGTTTTTTTCTCACGGGCACCTGCAGGTGTCTTCTGTTTGTCTTTGGGGTTCCCCAAGTGCTGGCTTAAAAAAAAAATTATTTTAACAACGCATCCAACAGTGCATTTTAAACGATGTTCTAAATCATGCTTCATGAGTGCTGATTAAAAACCAAAATGGTAACAAGGGAGCATTATATTATAACTCAAAGTATCCATTAAAATATCCATCAGTCCTTACTACCTAGGAGTCCTGGTGTGGTGCTGTGGGTTAATGCGCTGGACTGCAAAGTAGGTTTGAACCACTTCAAACCTACTCGGAAACCCTATATGGGACGGAGCTGACTCAGTGGCACTTAACGACAACATTCTGCCTTAGCTTTCCTCACCACTGCGATGGAGTCTCCTTGTGACCCTCTAGGGCAGAGTGGAGTGTTCCATAGGGTGTCTGAGGTTATAAGTCTTCACGGGAGCAGGGAGCAGAAAGCCTTATCGTTCTCACAAAAGAGGCTGGTGGATTTGAACTACAGACCTGGTGGTTACCAGCCCAATGCATAAATAAATTATGGAATAAATAAGGGATAGACAAGTTTTCCAGTTCAGAAGAATGCCGGGGTCTGACCTCGACATAGTTGTCACGAGTTTTTGGTTCACGAGGAGGGGAGATCCAGCGGCGATAGGGATAGCGAAAGAATACACAGACAAACAGAAGAAGGGAGACAATGAGGCACCCCAAAGCCAGGGTGGATACATCACTGGTGGGCAGGCTTGGGACTACAGGCATCATGGCCTCTGCAGGCAGCGACTCACTGCCCTGCAATCTTTAATGCATGCCTTCCAACCCGTAACGCACCGCAATCTTTACTCCATGCCTTCCAACCAGTAATGCACGCCTGGGGAGGCTCGGGCCTCTGTTTTATTTAGGGGAGGAGTTTCACACCAAGCTGGGAGGGACTAAAACAGGATACAGCTAACATCAGTAATTTTCCAGACATTCAGGTAACTTTACATTGTACTTCACTGGTTCGAATCCCAGGCCAGCAACTTGGATTCTCAGGCCCTATTAACATATCTATAGCCCCTGAGGTCAGTTGGGGGAAGGTGAGAGTTCTGCAGGAGACACCCAGGTGAATGGGCTGCACCTGGAAAAGGGATTAGGGAGGATGGGTTCTTTGTCTATAGAACAAAGAACCGAGAAGTAGCTAAGATATTTTTAGTTAATCCTTTGGAGAAAGGTTTAACCTTGCAACCTTTAGTCTCGGCTTTAGGAAAATATCACATTTATCTGTGGATTTTCAAAGGCTCTAGTGTATTAATTTAATATATATACCTGAATATTAAGATGAAAGCAATTTTCCATTAACTGCCAGTGGCCTCATTTGTTACACTCAGCCCTAGAGGGCCTCGAACCTCTGACTAGTCTTACACGGTCTGCAACAGAAGAATACCTTTTTTTTTTTGGGGGGGGGGGGCGTAGCAACTTCAGCCTCTCGGTCATAATACTTTCTTTCCAAACAGTGCAGAATGGGAGTGGGGGAAAGGTGGTAACTTGTATGGAGAAATCCGACAAACCCTACCTCAGCCAGGTGCTCCAGTCAAATTCAACAGTGATGTCATGTTGATGGTATGCACCTTTGGTATGATGTGATGCAAATGGCGCTTTGTTTCTGTGGGCTTCCTGCCAAAAAGCCATAACCCCAGTCTGCTCATAAGAAAAGCTCAGACAAACTCTAATTCAGGGACAGTTTACAGAATACCTACCCAAACAAATGAAAAACACTCAAGGCCTTCGAGTCTGACTCACAGAGCAGACCTGCCCTGTGGGTTTCGGAGGCTGTCAATTTTTACGGGAACAGACAGCCATATCTTTCTCCTGAAAGATGGTGGGTAGGTTTGAACTGCCAAACTTGCCTAGCATGCCTCAAAACTGATAAGGTTTTGAAAGAGGGAAAAGTCTAAGAGACGTTCACACTAAGAGGAACCTAAGGAGACAGGATAAGGAAACATAATATGGTGTCCAGAGACGAACCCTAGAACAGAAAAAGGACAATAGGGAGAAACTAAGGAAATTGAGTACAGTATGAAAGGAGTTCTGGTAGCGTAGTGGTTACGAATCGGGCTGCGAACCTTAAGGTCAGCGGTTCGAAACTACCAGCCGCTCCACGGGAGAAAGATGAGGCTTTCTACTCCCGTAAAGATTTACACCCTCGGAAACCCTGTACAGGGTCGCTATGGGTCGGACCCGACTCGATGGCACTTAACAACAACAACAACATGAATGCTTGAAGGATGCATCGATGTTGGTTCTTTACTTATAACAAATGCATGGACATTCGGTACAAGCTTCTGTGTGAAAATATGTTTTCAGTTCCTGGGGTATGTACCTAAGAGTTGGATTGCTGAGTCATATGGTAACTCTAGGACTCCTGGTGTGGCACTGTAGATCAGCATTGGACTGCAAACCACAAGGATGGCAGTTCAAACCCACCAGTTGCTCCTTGGAAACCCTATACAGGATGGCTGAGTCGGAAGCGACTCAACCAACGGCACTTAACAACAACCGCATGGTAACTCTATTTACTGATTGAAGAACTGTCAGACTGTTTTCCAAAGGGACTCCGCCATTTTGCATTCCCACCAGCAGTATCTGAGGGTCCCACATCTCTACTTTCTCACCAACAATTTGTTATTTCCTGTTTTCTGATAATAGCCTTAGCAGGGATGAAGTTAGAGTCCTGGTGTGGCGCTGTGGGTTAATGCGCTGGGCTGCAAGGGTCGATTTGAACCACAAGGTCGGCAGTTCAAGCTCACCAGCTGCTCCTTGGAAACCATATACAGGGTCACTATGGGTGGGAACCGACTCAACAGCACTTAACAACAAAGAGATGAAGTGGTTTTCATTGAGGTCATTCACTTGATTCACCACTTCTTGATGTTGAATGATTTTAAGTATCTTTTCATATGCTTACTGACCATTTGTGCAACTTCCTTGGAGAAATATTCATTCAGATCTTTGGCCCATTTTAAAATTGGTTTGTCTTTTTATTCTTAAGTTGTAAGAGTTCTTTATATAGTCTAGAAACAAACCCCTTAGCCGACATCTGATTTTCAGAACTTTTCAAAAATTTGTGTTTTCCCATTCTTAATAGTGTCCTTCTTTGGAAACACAAAAGTTCTGAAGTTTGATAATGTCCAATGTACCTATTATTTTCTTTTGCTGCTTGTGGTTTGTGTATGTATCCCTACTCTAATTTTGGGGTCCACTAACTTCTTAACTGAGGAGTCCTGGAGGCACAGTAGTTAAGAGCTTGACTCCTAACCAAAATGTGGTCAGTGTTTGAACCCACTAGCCTCTCCTTAGGAGAAAGATGTGGGAGTCTGCTCTGTAAAGCTGATGGCCTTGGAAACCCTGTGGGGCAATTGTCCTATGTCCTTTAGGGACATTCTGAATCAGAATCAACTTCACAACAAGGGTAACTCCCTGCCTGTCCCGGTGAAGTAGGAATCCCCAATCCAAACACTTCATTCCATGTTGTGGTTGTTAAGTGCCATCTAGTTGGTTACAACTCATAGGGACCCTGTATAGCAGGGGTCGGGAACGTCCAGCCCTCAGGGCTGTATAAGCCTGCAAAATCATTTGGTCTGGCCCAGCCAAGGCAAAACCTCCAAGGCAACTGCAGATGGGACTCGAAATTCCATAAATCTACGTACTCAAGTTCTCTGAGTCTGGTTTCATTGACTGAACAGTTAGGATATGAATAGTACTTACCTGAAAGGTGGCACTGTGGTTAAAGTAGCTTGGCTGCTAACTGAAAAGTCAGTAGTTTGAACCCACCAGTCACTGTGTAGGAGAGATGTGACAGACCTCAGGGATAGTTCTACGCTGTCCTACAGGTCACTGTGAGTTGGACTGACTGGACCACAGTGGGTATTTTATTTTGAGACTGTCATATGATCAACATATGATTAACATATGCAAATCCTTTAGTGCAGGATTAGTCAACCTCACTATTGCCATGGGGCTGAGTACTTCTCTGTGGTGGGAGGCTGAGCATTGTAGGAGGTGGGCAGCATCCCTGACCTTGACCCACTAGCTGCCAGTAGCAGCCTCCCAGTCGTGACCATCAAAATCACCTCAGTTCACAGCAGTTGTGTTAGCACAAAGCCTGCTAGGTTTTCCCCCTCCTTAATTGGGCTGCTAACCTCAGGGTCAGGAGTTCGAAACTACCAGCTGTTTCGTGGGAGAAAGATGAGGCTTTCTGCTCCCGTAAAGATTTACAGCCTCAGAAACCCTGTACAAGGTCGCTATGAATCGGAACCGACTCCACAGCTCATAACAACAACAACAACAATGTTGCTAAGTGCCATCAAGTCAATTCTGACTTGCAGAGCCCCTGTAGAGGATTTCTGAGGCTGTAAATCTTTTGGGGAGCAGAAAACCTCATCTTTCTCCTGCAGAG